ATTTGAATTCAAAGCTTCAAAGTTTTTTAATGGCTGTCAATGGTGGAATTGCTGCTCTCTTTTTCTTTACTTTGTATTACTGAAATTTAGACATAATTGCGTTTGATGTAGAAGAATTGTAGAAGATTTAGTCATTTTTGATTTGTGAAATCAGAAAAAATGTTGAAACAGAGTTTAGCGCAAAAAACAGAGTACGGAAAATTTGTAACGAAGACGACGATAGTGATTACTATGCGTGATTTGCGTTGGAAGATCTAGAAAATATTTAATTCCCCTTTTTTAGCGCGCCTAAATAAGGAATCCTACAGCTATAATGATTCCTTATTTAATGCATTGTATATATTATGTAGAAATACTACTAGCATGAAGGGTAATATGCATACTATGAACATATTTGGTAATATAATTTCCTATATGGTATAGGAACGAAAATTTCCCTATTCTTAATGATTTCAGAGGTTTCCAAGTCCTTTGGCAATAAAATAATTCTTCATTAAATCTTGATTAACTCGTGATCTTTTTCAATAAAATAATTCTTCTTTCAAGTTTCAACTCTTGATTTCTTCCCAAACTAACTAAAATCCCAGATAAGGTCTCTATCTGAAATTCTGAAGTCAACTTTCCTTTCCTTATTGATAATAGATTCTTCATTAATTAATTGGTAATTAGGCTTGAGTAAACAAAGTTTAACAAGAAAGCCAATGGTTAACTCCAATTAAATGGTAACTCAATCAAATATTATATAAATGAGTGAAGCTTTAGAATATGGATTAAAAAGGAATTAGTAAGTACTCTTCATATATGAATGAAGCACATTGTTCCTAAATCAACAATAAAATGAGAACTTGATTTCCAATTAAAAGAAGTCTATAATGCTTCTAATCGAAACAAGAAAGTAAACATTGTTTAATGCGAGTAAATTTCATGAAAGGTCACACAATTATGACTTATTTCATTGAAGTTACATAACTCTTCTCTCGCGTGCCTTATAATTTTTTTTTGAGAAATATATATTTTTAGCCGCTTCCAAAAATAATACTAGTCAATAAAATATATATTTTTGTATATATGTTATATAAAAATATAAAAATATTTTATACATTTAATTTTAACTAGAGCATGTAATTAGTTTCGATCGAGCGATCAAATTTGGATTTTGCCCATCTTTTCTCACGATCCGCATGCTTCCTTTATCTTTTTAAATTTGCTTTGTTGTCTTTTATTTCAAAATTAGACATTTGTAATATCAGCCATGACGCTAGTTTTTGAAATATCCTATGGTGTTGGCGAAGAGATTAACATGATAATAGCTCGAAATTTTGGAATTTTTCCTTGTTTGTTTCAAATAAAACCAAAGTTTGTACTTTGTTCCACCGAAAAAATATTATGTCATTCGTGTGCATACAATATGTCGATACTGCTTGAAAAATACGGCAAGATAAACATCAATTTGCAATTAAGAGTAAAACATTATTTAGTTAAAACCTCAATTTGCATTAAAAAGTAAAGCATTATATAAATCCTCAATTTGCATTAAATAGTAAAGCATTAGTTAAAACCTTCGCTCCAAATTCAAACTCAGTTACCAGCTGAAGTGTGACAATAGAGTCAATACTGATTGTGTACAAAAAATCCTACGTATATTAATGTAATAGGAGTAACTAATACGTATAGATAGTGAAAGATGAAGATGTAATTAATTATCCTGAATGCAATCTTAGTCACAATTGAAAGTTCGGAACTGTAGATTCGCATAAGATTTTCCATATGATTGCCTGCTGTAGTTTAATGGTTATTGCATCATGCTTTGACATTGAATTAAAGACTTCGTCGTTATTCTATTGATAATAATCAGGTGTTAATTCAATATTAATACAACCAACAGCTGGTTTATTGCTTTCATCAAACGTTGTTAAACAAATGTAAGTCTAAATAAAGGTCTTTATCTCGAATTCAACTTTCCTTAACTTTATACCAAAAGAGGTAATGACTTGCACGTATATTCATAGTACTATTATATTCATAGGAAAATGACACTATATAGCCGCTCTCAAAATAATAGCCGAAAAAATATATACTATATTTTTGTATATATATACATTATGTATGTTATATACAGAAATTATACAAATTTTATACATTTTTTCGGCTACCAAATATAAATAGTTTGGCGCAGGCTAAAAGTGAAAAAAATCCTATATTCATTCTGGTACAGTCAAACTTCTCTATAACAGCCTCATTTGTTCCAGACGTTTTTTGGATGTTATAGCAGAGTTATAAAAAACATATATTATAACAAAGTATGAAATTCGTTCCATAAAAAACTTGGTTTTTATAGTGAACGGTTGTTATATAGTGATGTTGTTATAGAGAGGTCTAACGGTATCATTTTCTCTAATATTGGGATTATATATTAGGCCAAAAGAAAGCCTAGAAAAGTACAGAAGTAACCAACAAATACACCTCTTTTGCTTGCTAATGGAGTTTCAGTTTCCATTCAACTTAACTTTCTTATTCCTTTTCCTATCATTCCTCTTTCTAGTACTAAGTAAATGGAAAAAATCAAAAAACTTAAGCAAGAAACTGCCTCCAGGTCCATGGAAATTGCCTATTTTAGGAAGTGTCCATCACTTGGCATTGGAAGGTGGACATCCCCACCATGCACTTGCAAACTTGGCCAAAAAATATGGACCTGATCTCATGCACCTTCAACTAGGTGAAATTTCTACGGTCGTGGTTTCTTCTCTCGACATGGCGCGAGAGGTACTAAAAACTCATGACCTCGCTTTTGCATCGAGGCCTAAACTATTGGCCCTCGAGATAATATTTTACAAGAGCACAGACATTGCATTTAGTGCTTACGGTGATTACTGGAGACAAATGCGCAAAGTCGCTGTCTTGGAACTGCTCTCTGCCAAGAACGTTCGGTCCTTTACTTCTATTAGGCGTGACGAGGCTTCTCGTCTCATACAAATTATCCGGTCATCGCCAACGGACGAGCCAATAAATGTTACTGAAAGGATCTTATGGTACGAGAGCTCCATGACCTGCAAAGCAGCATTTGGAGAATTGTTAAAAGACCAAAAAAAGTTCATTCTAATAGTAAGGGAATTGACAGAATTATCAGGTGGCTTTAGTGTGGCCGACATTTTCCCTTCAATCAAGATCCTTCATTTGCTAAGTGGAATGAAGGGTAGAATTTTGAATACTCACAAAAGAGTAGATGCTATTGTTGAGGATGTTATCAATGAGCATATAAAGAATCTTGCAAATGGTAAAGCAGGCAATGGTGCATTAGGAGGTGAAGATCTAGTTGATGTTCTACTAAGACTAAAGGAAAGTGGGGAACTTCAAATCCCAATCACCAATGACAACATCAAAGCAGTTATGATTGTAAGTATTCTTACTTGTAGGGAAAAACTTCAAATTATTCTTATTACCAAGAAAATCATGGGTTTTCTTTTCTTTTCTTTTGTTTATAAATAACCAAGCTAAACATTTCCATCCTAGTAAACAGAACTTCTATGGAATTACAAGCTAGTCACCAACAAGTATTGTGATAAAATGAACGAGATCATTTCACACTTAAGGAGAGGTCCCGAGTTTGAGACTTGATAATAAAGAATATAGGGACAGTTTCCTCTTTAATGGTTTTTTTTAACCAAGTCAAATCGTTATGCAAAACGAATTTCTCCTAGCAACAAGGTTTCTTTTGTTAATGGAATTACAAGCTACCTACAATAATTCACATATATTGTTAGTTACTTAGATGTTTAAAATATTATTGCACAATATAATAACCACATAACAAGATGAATCAACTATTCACCTAATATAGAGGAGATTGAACCTAAGGCTTCAAATATTCCTAGGCCTTTCAGGACATGAACACATGTAACAAGTGAACTAGCTATTTGACTTTCTAGACAATAAAATAACTTACTAAAGAATGCCTTGAACTATTGATATGTACTGCCTTATTTGATATATTTAATTAACTCGTTCTTTATTAATTTTTAATAAATTTAGGACCTGTTCTCTGCCGGAACAGAAACTTCATCAACAACAACAATATGGGCCATGACAGAAATGATGAGGAACCCAAAAGTGTATGCAAAGGCACAAGCTGAGGTAAGAGAAGTATTCAAAGGAAAAGAAACCATCGACGAGGATAACATTGAGGAGTTGAAATACCTAAAACAAGTTGTTAAAGAAACCTTGAGACTTCACCCTCCGCTCCCTCTCTTGCTTCCAAGAGAGTGTAGGGAGGAAACAAACATCAATGGATACACTATCCCATTAAAAACAAGAGTCATGGTTAATGCTTGGGCAATTGGGAGGGATCCAAAGTATTGGGAAGACGCGGAACAGTTTAAGCCAGAGAGATTTGAGCATGTCTCTGTGGATTTCATGGGAAATAACTTTGAGTATCTCCCTTTTGGTTCCGGAAGGAGAATGTGTCCTGGAATTTCATTTGGTTTAATAAATGTCCACCTTCCACTAGCTAAATTGCTCTATCATTGTGACTGGAAACTCCCTGATGGTGTCAAACCTGAAGATTTGGACATGACTGAGTTTACTGCTATAACTGCAGCAAGAAAGAGTGAGTTATACTTGATTGCTACTCCTTATCATCCTTCTCAAGAATGATATTTGATACAGCAGTGAGGGTCCTGTTCTCTTTTTTTTTTTTTTTTTTTTTTTTTTTTTTTTATTCATNTTTTTTTTTTTTTTTTTTTTTTTTTTTTTTTTGGTTCTATATGTGTTTCTGCCCTTGTGTGAATTATATATTTAATGATAAACCTCTCCAATAGCTCCTACCAATGTCTTTGAGCTTGTTGGAAGCTTGTAAATATCAGCTTTCTTATACTTGTGCAATATATACTTGTGACGTTGAATAATAAGTTCAGTTTTATCAATGGAATCTGATCTCTGTGTTTTAACAAGCTCCATCATCCAATATTTATTGCTTACTACTCTTTTACTTCATATGAAATCAGTCATAGCAGTAAGCCCCCTTTCATTATTACGAATTTCAATATTTTTATCACGGTTTACTTCAACAAGTGCTGTTCTGGATATCAAGCATAGCTGCAAAGGCAAAAGTGATGGCTAAGTTTGCATTTTAAGAGCCCTAACTTTCACAAAATAATAAGATTTCCCGTGTGTTTTGATTGATATTCATACTAACTAATACTCACCAGCGTTTAGGAAATATTTTTGGAATAGCTCAAGCTCGCCCCAGGTCGAGACACTTAGAAAATGCCCGAGGAACACATGTGGGTGCTTGAGTCGCAAGGCTTATATCCCCAAGCATGCCCAACGCCGAGGCTTAGGTCCCCAAACATGCCCAACCCCAACATCCGAGACTCAGTCCAGCAGTTGCTACACAATTATGTGTGGAATTTCCTTATTAGACTACCCAATTCATCAATCTCAATTCTAAAATTTGAAGTTTGAGAATTGCACAACTCAAATTGTCCCTAAGATTCCATCCCACCCTGGGGAAGGATTCCCTCCAGTACCTTTCCCTCAAGTTTTATCCAACACATCACTCGATTTCTCACACGTAGCGCCTATATAATTTATGGACCAGATTTTTCCAATACTCAAAGTTCACACAACCATGAACTACAGACTACCCCTCTTTCTCCTTCCTCTCCATATTCCAATAAGCAATGTCATCGCAATTCTTAAAATAAAGCAGTGACATAAAACACAAGCTTTTGATTTCAAACAGCTTTGCTCGGCTTGCCGGAAAACACAAATGATAGTGTCCTAGGAAAACTAGCGAAATTATTGAAAAACTAAAATAAAATACAGAAAATTACGATTTAGAATTTTTGCACCCATTTCGTAGCTTCTGAAACATTACAGCTCAGCATATTGACGTTGAAATATTAAATCTTTTTCATTCTAGAAAGATTTGCCCCTGGAATATTATATGAAATAAAAACAAAAATAAAAAAAACTACTTGTATTTACAGGAACCCAAGAGCTCACCGAATTTAGAGAAATGGCAGCTAAAGTGGCCTGGGCGTCTTCTTCAACAGTATCGGAAGCAGCCGTAAAAGTTGGAATTGCCGGAAAATTAGTGTTGGTCACTTCTTTGTTATAGAATCGGGTGGCTTTAGTCACAGTAAATGTAAAGGGTGAGGAGAAAGAAGGGAAGGTCATCTCAAGTTTGTGCATTGGAGAAATCTGGTCCATAGATTTAATATGCGCCACGTGTCAGCAATCAAGTGATGTATTAGAGAAAACCTCGAGGAAAAGGTACTCGAGGCGACAATTTTATTAGATTTATATCTACTATTTATTGTAATTTTAATAAATTTTTATATATAAATTTATATTTCGTGTCTAAAGGTTTGGCTTCAGATGAATCATATGACCCCTGGCAACAACGAATTATGTTAGTTATATACTCCCTCCGGTCCATAATAAGTGATCAATTTGCTTTGGCACACTATAGATATATAAATTTATTGGGTTTAATCCATACAAAATTTGGATTAAATTCAATTGGGTTAAATGATTAATTTGGGCTTTACAAGTTAAATTAGTCTATTTTATTATTTTCAGGCCCAAAGTCCATTTCATCTTAAGGCCCAGACTTATGCCATGTGACATGGCGTATCCAATCAAACTCCAGGCCAATAAGGAGACGCCACGTGTTAAATGACGTGGAAATCCAAGTAAAAAAGCAAGAACCAGCCACAAGTCACCAAGTGGCCAAAATGACATGGGCCAATCAGAATCAAGCAAGAGAGTTCTTATGTAGTTGGACTGTCCATCCTCTACAATCAGAATCAAGCAAGAGGGTTACATAACTCTCAAGGGACATTCAGAGTTGGAGAAGAACACTCCGCAATTGGTGAATGCATCCACAAACAGATAGATCAATCATCAAGTGCTTAGTTCTTCAACAAAGGAGTGATCAACGGAGTTCTTCCCAGAGATCAACCCGTAACAATAAAGTGCTGCTCGTCGTTCTTGGCGATTAAATACATCACAAGGAGGTCCACATCATCCTACATTCAAGAAAGACGCTTCTCAAGCCCTCGAATTACGGAGAATTTTAGAGAGGAGAATCAAGGGATACATAGAATTGTACTCACAAATATTTATCAATAAAATCACTTTTTCTTCATATTATTTTTGTTGCAGTTTATTTTTCGTATTACAAAAATTTGTTCCGAACAAATTTTGGTACACCCGGTGGGGCCAATTCTGCCCTTCATCTCTCATTCTTGCAAGTTGAAAACTACAAGCTTCATATCTAATGCTACAATGGCCTTCCGCAAGTGCGATGTTTCATGCAAAGATGCTACTGTTGCCGCATCCGCTGAGCTCGGTCATGTTGGCCCAATCACTCGAAGCAAGTTCAAAACTAGCGGCTTGGATGGATCCGAATACTTTGCCTCCTTGGAGATGGCAAAGAAAAGTAGATCTCATATGACGTTCGCAACCGCAATCTCTGGGGGCAACACCCCATTCTCGATGTTTGATCAACTTTCTCAAACAGCCTCAAACCTTGGCGGATTTGAGCATTTGGTGGATTCTTCAATTTCAACAAAAGTCAACGCCTTGATGACTGGCGCAACTAACGTGGACGAAAAGTTTGCCATAATGGAACAGACTATAGAGGTCTTGAAGAAATCTGTTGAAGATAAAGACCTTCAAATCGCTCAACTCATGAACAAATTGGAGGCCTATGCACTTGGAGAGTCGAGCCATGTCCCTTATCGTTCACCTGTCTTCACCTCCCAGAAAACTGTTGTTGAGGAATCATTTGCAAAGTTAAACATTCAAAAGGAAAAGCAATCTGCTTTAGTTGCGGCGTTATCTGTCCAACAATTGCAAGACATGATAACAAGCACCATCAGAGCTCAATATGGCGGACCATCGCAAAGTTCGTTGTACTACTCTAAGCCTTATACTAAGAGAATTGATTGTTTAACCATGCCAACCAATTATCAACCACCAAAGCTACATCAATTTGATGGCAAAGGGAACCCAAGGCAACATATTGCCCACTTTGTCGAGACTTGTAGCAATGCAGGAACGCATGGTGACCTTTTGGTAAAATAATTTGTTCGTTCTCTGAAAGGAAACACATTTGATCGGTATATTGACTTGGAGCCCGAGTCTATTGATAGTTGAGAGCAACTTGAGAAGGAATTCCTCAACCGTTTTTACAGTACCCGAAGAACTGTAAGCATGATAGAGTTGATAGGCACCAAGCAAAGGAAGGACGAGCCCATGGTGGATTACATTAATCGTTGGAGGGAGTTAAGTTTGGACTGCAAAGATCGCCTTTCAGAAATATCTGCTGTGGAGATTTGCATTCAAGGAATGCACTGGGGCCTTCTGTACATCCTACAAGGGATCAAACCGCGAACTTTTGAAGAACTTGCAACACGAGCGCACGACATGGAGTTAAGCATCGCAAGTCATGGAAAGACATCTCCATTTGCTGATCAAAAGGAGTTCAAGAAAAATGTTGCATCAAAGAACCAAACCAAAGAATCAATGGTGGTGAAAGTAACTTCTGTGAAGGTCACTACTAAGCAAAAAGTTAAGGTGGATAAGACCCCGAGTCAATATCCCAAAGAGGAGAAGCGTCGTCCCACCTTAAAGGAATTAGAGGCGAAGGTTTATCCATTTCCAGATTCAGATGTACCCACAATCCTTGATGAACTGTTGGATGAGAAAGTCATCGATCTCCCTGAATCAAAAAGGCCATAGGAAATTAGCAAAGTTGGCGATCCAAAATATTTCAAGTTTCATCGCGTCATTAGCCACCCTACAGAGAAATGCTTCATCTTGAAGGAGAAAATTATGGCTCTTGTAAGTGAAGGAAAAATTCATCATAGACATGGATGAAACATCAGAAGCAAATCATGCAAGTATTGCGCTCAAGGAAAAGAAATGTTCAAAGTTGCATAACGTGTCAAGCACTGCCTTTTTACAATTTGGAAGTTTCGAGCCTGTTGAAGTTGATCTTCCAAGGAAAACTCTTGAAGGTTCACTAGAGCTAGACAATAACTCCAAATACAAAGACGATGAGGGTTGGATTCTAGTCACTCACAAGAAGCGAAAACATCAGGCAGTTTTGAGGCTACGAATTCCTAATTCAAGAGCGATGATTGTTGATACCCAGTTTTTTCCCTATATATTTTTCATATGCAAAATACTTTCAAAATAGCATATGTATGCATATATAAGCATGTCCAAGTGTTTTATTATTTTTCTAATTTTTAAAAGATTTTTAAATCAATTTATCGCCTTATTTTATCAGAAACAAACCAATAATTATTTACCAAATTATCATTTTTGGTAACTACTTTATTGAATTATCATATTTATACCAAAATATAGCTAATTTAATTTTTGCACATTTTTTACAGATTTATTTAGTATTTTAAAGTTAAATTACATATATTGCAATATTAGCCTATTTTAAGATTTAATTATGTTTATAATTACAAATTTGATTATAGTATTTTTAATTTAATATTTACATATTATTAATCAATTTAGTACCTTTAATTTATTTCCAAAAATTATTTTACTATTTTTATAAAATAAATAAGGGAAAAATGGCTATTTAAATGTTAGCCCCGTTTATTTCAATTTTAGCCTTATTTGAGCCCCAAATGAACCCAATTCCCAATCTCAATTCCTCAACCCAATTTTAATTTAAACCCGCCCCTGACCCGATTAAATCCTACCCGACCCAGACCCCTCTCATCCTGGCCGTTGATCTCTGAGATCAACGACCCCTATTCACTCTTACCCTTTTTAACCCAAACGACCACCCTAACCTTCTCATTTCTCACCTACCATCCGCCTCTGAACTCTCAAACTCTCTCAAACTCTCTCGAACATTCCCAAACCCTAACCGCCTCTTACCACC